GTCCTGCCGAAGCAAGCACTAAATAAATGCTTATTGATTGACTGGCAATCTGTAAAAAGTAACAGGGAAGAGATCATCTGCTTCTCTGCAGAGGAGCACAGTAAATGGCACTTACCTTCATCACAGCGTTGAACTGAACTGAGGTGTGTTTACTGAGCACCTGCTATAGGACAGCTAATGTTTTATGCATTGAGAATATAGAAATAAATAAGGTAGGCCAGGCCCCTGCCCTCAAATAATTTAAATTTTAGTGTTGAGTCAGGAAGTTAACAAACAAATGTATAAAGTCAGATAGTAAGGCAAGGTAGAAGGCTAGAAAGTGACAGAGGTTTGTACGATGTCTCGGCCCACTGGCTCAGGGCAGCCTCTGCGAGGAGGGGCAGCCATCTGGCTGGTAGAAGCCAGCTGTGTGGCTGGAAGGGGAAGGGCATTCCAGGAACTGGAAACTGCCGATGCAAAGGCAAGAAGGCCACGTGGCTGGAAGGGAGCAAGTGAGGTGGCAGGAAATGAGGTCACGGAGGTAGGCAGGGATCAGGTGGTGTTAGCTGGGTAGGGTTTTAGTCTAGGAAGGATGGAAGGGTTCTTGAGCTGGAGTTATGATGAAAAGGTTTGGAAATAATGGTGATGGCTATACAACAGTGTGGATGTAACTAATGCCACTGAATTGTACACCTAAAAGTGGTTAAAATGACAAATTTCATATATATATATATTTGTTTTTTTTACCACAATCCAAAAAGGTAAAAAGAAAAAAAAAATAAATGGTACTTGGTCAGAATAAACAAGGTAGTGGGGAGCCAGAGGAAACAGTCATTAAATGCCCAGGGGAAGGGAGGGTGTGTAACATTAAAAAACAAAATCCCGGAGGAGGCCCAAGGGAGGTGTCTGGGTGCCGTCATGGTCAATTCTTTATCTCAGTGCCGGTTATCTGGCTGTGTTCACTTTGTGAAAACTTACTGAGCCATGCATTTATAATTCGTGCATTTTCCCTACGTATCTTATACTTTGATTGGAATATTTACATTTAACTCCGTCCGTGGTGGTGAGGCTTGACTGCAGGGTCCCTGAGAGCCCAGGCGAGTGCCTGGCACTTATCTCGCACTCAGTGAACAGCTGACCTGTGGCTGGACTCTGCTCTGAGTTTTTCCTCTGCACATATCAATCCATTTAATCTTTATTACAACTTGTGAAATAGAGCACTGTAACTATCATTTCCTGTTTTGCAAATGAAGAACCTGAAGCACAGAGAGGTGGAGTGATTGTCCAAAGTAACACAGCCAGTAAGTGCCAGAGCTGGAATTTAAACCCAAGCAGTCTGGATCCAGAGTCATTGGCTTTCTTTTTTTTGAGACAGAGTCTTGCTTTGTTGCCTGCGCTACAGTCCGTGGAGTCAGCCTAGCTCACAGCAACCTCAAACTCCTGGGCTCAAACAATCCTCCTGCCTCAGCCTCTGGAGTAGCTGGGACTACAGGCATGCGCCACCATGCCTGGCTAATTTTTATACATATATATTTTTAGTTGTCCAGCTAATTTCTTTCTATTTTTTTTTTTTTTTTAGTAGAGATGGGTCTCACCTCTTGCTCAGGCTGGTCTGGAATCCTGACTCTTGAGTAATCTCCTCCACTTTGGCTCCCAGAGTGTTGGGATTACAGACATGAGCCACCTCGCCGGGCCGGAGAGTCAGTGCTTTTAACCATCACATCAAACAGAATGAATGAATGAATGAATAAATGAATATGTTCAGCTCTCTCTCTAAATTGATGATTCTCAACATGGGGTGTGTGGCACATATTTTGTTTCCCAGGGGACTTTTGGCAATGTCAGAAGACATCTTTGTTTGTTACAATTTGGGGAGGATACTAGTGGCATCGGGTGGGCAGAGGCCAGAGATGGTGCTGAATATCCTGCTACGCACAGGACAGCTGCCCCCAACAACAAAGAACCATCCACCCCAAATGTCAATAGTGCTGAGGTAGAGAAACTCTGCTCTAAACCTAACTGATATGTTTCACACTCTCTCAACACTTGTTGCTTTATAATCTTAAATCTCTCACTTAGTCTCCCACTATTAGATTAAAAATAAAAGATCCTTATTCTGAAATGGCTCCTTGGTGCCATTATCTCTGGCGACTCAGGTATCTGCCACATTCTTGCGGTACCACTTATGTCTGCACTACGCTCACTAATCTCTGATTGCGTGGTGTGGTGGCAAGAGGCCTAGCCATGACTTTTCTTGTGAGAATTCTGCTGGGGGCATGTGATGGGGAGGTCCTCATGCCTATCTGTCTACACGAAGCCTGCCCCTTCCTGCCACCTGTGTCTTCCTACCACCTAGGGCTCTCTGCTCCTGGCACTTCCCATCAGCTCAGAGCTTTCTACACAGTACTGCCATCCCATGGGTGGGGACAGGAGCACAGGCAGTTTCCAAGGTTGCAGATTCCCATCTTGTTTTCCTCACCAGAATCCTCAAATTATAGCCCAGCAGTCAAAGGGATCCTCTGAAGCCAGGGAGTAGCTAATATGTAGAGGGGGATGGGAAAACCCAGGCACTGAGAACAGCAGCAGCTGCTCAGGTCCCAACTTGTAAGTGGTAAAGCTGGGATTTGCATCCAGGCGTCTTGACTGCAGAGCCCACCAGGTGTAACCAGTCCCTACCGCAGGCCTCTCTCATCTCAGCCTCCTCCTTGTGCTTGGCCTAGGCTAGCCCTCCTCTGGGGCTCACCCTGGACCATCACTGTGGCAACCTCCAGCAACTCCTCCCATTGGCCTTCCACTTCCAGTCACCTTCTCTGGTTCCAGACTCTGAGCTCTCAGCCTACATTCTTGCTGAGGGAGACCAAGGGGGCTATCTCTGTCCTTTGTTTGCTAAAATATGCCAGGCATCAGGTTACCATTTTTATTGCATTTCAACTGTTAAGGTCTAATCAGCCAAAAGCTGTCATTTATTCTGGGTGAATTAGGGAGTGCCTAAGGACACACTTCTGCCTCTCTTAGTAGACAGTGAATTAGAAGGGGAAGGAACAAAATCCTACCTATCTCAATGCCCAGCTGCACCTGGCACCTGCACCTAATAAGTGTGTTGTTGAATAAATGGACAAATGAACTCCTGATGGTCCCCGTTACAGAAGACTGTGAAAGCGTAGTGGTCATGAGGACAAAGGACATGGACAGACCTGGGCTTGAAGCCCAAGGTCACTTCCAAGCTGAGATCTTGGGTCCTGTACTTCATCCCAGAGTTGGCAACTTTTGGGGGGGAAGGGTCAGACAGTAGATATTTTCAGCTTTGTGGGATATATGGTCTTTTAGATAACTATACAACTTTGCCTTGTTTGCAAAAATAGCCAGAAATAATACCTAAACCAATGGATGTGGCTATGTTCTCATAAACTTTTACTTACAAAAGTAGGCAGTCGGGAGGCCTGGAGCAGTATGCTGATATATGACTCAGTGGAAAAAAAAAAAAACAGTATAAAAGAAGGCCAAATGACACAAACTATGAATGTAGTCCTAAATCTGTGCTTAATATCCTTGGGCAGTATTGCCTGTACTCCATCACATCAATTCCGTTCAATTCAATTTACTGATTGCCACCACATGGTGCTTGCATGTATAGTATTTTATTTTTCTTTCCAGTTCCTTGTGAGATGAGAAGACCAAACATTTGAGAAGTAGCATTATACAGAAAGTAAGAGCTTGGGATTTTGGAACCAGACTGCCTAGGCCCTGGTTCTGGCTCTGCCACTTAAGATGTATGTGACCTTTGCAAAATTAATTTAACCTCCCTGACTTAACCTCCATCAGTTGTTCTATCTGTTAAGCTGGGGTAACAACAACAGTGTCTCTCATAGGGTTGCCATGAGGATTATATGGGTCCAGGTTCAAATCACCTGGGGTTCTTTAAAGATTCCAAAACCCAGGTCACACGCAGACCAGCACAATTACAATCTCTGGGGATGAGACAGGGGTGCCAGCCTAAAACTTTATGCAAGTGCAACGAAAGTATGCGGATTTGCCACTCAGAAACACCAACTTCAAAGGAATGGAGTGAGCACTCCGAAGTAGGGAAATTAAGAATTCATTTATCCATGCAGAGACAAAGGAGTTTTTTTTAGTAGGGTTACATTATTGATACAAGGTTGCCACATAGTTACAGCAACTTGGTTGGTTATAGGCAGTGTTTCTTTTTGAGAAGGGTACATTTAATTTTTTTTTTTTTTTAACAGAGGGTGTAACAATCATGGGTTCCACCACCTAGTCTAAGGAAAGCAGGAAAACAGACGGGAAGTTAAGCTATAAACAAAGGTCATTACTTAAGAAGGCACCAGGTTTTTGTCCCTGATATCATTTAACTCTCTCTAGTAATTGTAGAAGAAAAATAAGAAAGATAAAGTACAATCTGAGAATAAAAGGGGTAACCATATATGACTTAGATGACAGTCACATCTCTCTTAAGGGTTAAAGTGTTTTGGGGGGGTTCCAACAGCTTTTAAATTTTATTTTCACAGGGGGCATCGGTATTTCTGAAGCTTCCCTAGGTGGGTCTAACGCTAAGACAAGTTTGGGAAACTAACAGGGTGAAGCGCCCCAAAAGCTGGTTTGACACGCCGGCGCACGTTTGTGGAATCACTGCGTCCGCAAGCACCCAGGCACCGCCCCAGCTCACAGGGCACCCTCCGCCCCAGCCCACAGGGCGCCCTCCGCCCCAGCCCACTGGGCGCCCACCGCCCCAGCCCACAGGGCGCCCTCCGCCCCAGCCCACAGGGCGCCCACCGCCCCAGCCCACAGGGCGCCCTCCGCCCCAGCCCACCCGGGTTCAGTAGCCCTTGCCGGTGCACGCTGGGATTCGTAGTCCCTTTGGCTCGCCGGCAACGCCCCCTCCTCCCATTGGTTTTTGCCGACGCCACGCCCCGGAGCTCCGCCAATCACCGCGGTGCAGGGGCCCCCTAAGAGGAGCGAGGCGGCGCCGCGCCGCAATCACAGCGTCAGAGGCGGCCGGTCTGAGGCTGCGCGCCGCCGCGAGTTCCCACGGTGCTGAGGGAGCCGCCGCCGCCGCCGCGTCGATCGCCCGCCGCAGGTAACCTCGGGCCCCAGCGCGCGACCCCGGCCGGCCTCATGCTGGAGGCCGGGACCGCCTGTCCCGCAGGACCGCCCGTCTGCCGCGGCTCTTGGCCTCCGGGCCGGGATTTTCATTTACCTCGGCCATGTCTGAGTAATCAGTTTCTCACCCTGCGAAGGGGAATTTCGGGAAACGGTGAATTCCCAGGGAAACCCTGCGACCTCTCTGCCCAAAATCCTGTGGGGTCGGGGGGTGGGGGGTGATGGTGGGGCTCTCTTGTCACGCGTTTTCTGGCTGGAAGGGTGCGTTGCTCTGGAGGGGGAAACTGAGGCCCGAAAGGAGACTGGATTTGCTAAGTTCCCCCAGGCAGGGTACCCAACGGGGTCGGGCGGCTTGGTTCCAGTCTGTATAATCTGGGAACAGTTTAGGGTTTTGATGCTTTTAATATGGAGGATTGCACTCGTGGGGAAGGGCTGCTAACGACAACCACAAAAGTACCCAGATGAAATGATGAAAATGAGTGCCCAGGGTTTGAGACTAGCCCCATGGTGTGTGGTGAGTGGAGTATCCCAGCTTTGTTCACTCTAGGGCCTTACTAAGCATTTGAGGCAGGGATTATTTCATAAGGAGAGAGGCAGTCTCCAGTGAACAATTCCAGGGTTAAGAGGCTGGAGTACAGGCATGTGCAGGGGCAACATCTAACCTTGATTTGTGTGAGTGGGTAGGACTTTGCAGGGAAGGGGTTGCTTGAGTGGAGTTTGAAGATTGGGGTGGGAGCTAGTGAGATAAGGGAGAAGAGCATTCCATCTGGAAAAACAGCATGGTGAAGGCACGGAAAGAGCAACGCTTTTGGACCTGGAGTCGTGGAGCCTTGCAGCAACAAAGGATTCCATGTGGGTGGTGGATTTTATGTGCCATGAGGATAGAGAGGTACATGTTGCAGGGCTCATGCTGCTGTGAGAAATTTGGATGTTGTCCTGCATGTTCTTTCTGGCAGCTGCATTTCGTGTAGATCTGCATCTTAGATACTCTCTAGTGTGGAAGTGTGTTGAAGAGAGGCCACACTGAAGATAGGGGCTTTTAAAGACAGTTTCAGTGGGAAGGGAGAGAGAAGATTTGAGAACCGTGAAGAGGTAGAATACACCATACCCAGTATTGTTCATTAAAAATATGTTGAAGTAAACTCTGGCTCTTGAGTTTTTCAACCTATGACTATCTTTTGAAGAATTGCCCAGCACTTTTGTTTTAACTGCAGAAGTTGCTTTGTAGACTATAATCCAAATCCCAGTGTATGATAGGGAGAATTGAAGATGTTGAAATCTGAATGGTAAAATAAATATATAATAAAACTCAAATTTTCTTGTAATCCATGAACCACATATTAAAACCATAATTAGATCACTTTACATCCATCAGATTAGGAATTGTAAAATTTGAGACTATCAAGAGATGATAGATATTTGAAGAAAATGAGATTCTTATTCATTAGTGGTACAAGTATATCTTAGAACAGTATAGCCATTAACGAAAGGGTATATCTTGTTTTGTTTTGTTTTGTTTTGTTTTTTGAGACAGAGTCTTGCATTGTTGCCTGGGTTAGAGTGCTGTGGTGTCAGCTTAGCTCATAGCAACCTCAAACTCCTGGGCTCAAGCGATCTTCCTGCCTTAGCCTCCCAAGTAGCCGGGACTACAGGCATGTACCACCATGCCCGGCTAATTTTTTCTATGTATTTTTAGTTGGCCAATTAATTTCTTTCTATTTTTTAGTAGAGATGGCATCTTGCTCTTGCTCAGGCTGGTTTCGAACTCCTGACCTTGAGCTATCCGCCTGCCTTGGCCTTCCAGAGTGCTAGTATTACAGGCATGAGCCAGTGCGCCCAGCCAGAAGGGTATATCTTAATACCCAGTGGTTCCACTTATAGAAAATACTCTAGAGAAACATGTTTGTATACAAGGAGAGGGATATTGGGATATTTATTGCAACTTTTTTTTTTTTTTTTTTTTTTTTTGAGACAGAGTCTCGCTTTGTTGCCCAGGCTAGAGTGAGTGCCATGGCATCAGCCTAGCTCACAGCAACCTCAAACTCCTGGGCTCAAGCAATCCTGCTGCCTCAGCCTCCTGAGTAGCTGGGACTACAGGCATGCACCACCATGCCCGGCTAATTTTTTCAATATATATTAGTTGGCCAATTAATTTCTTTCTATTTATAGTAGAGACAAGGTCTCGCTCTTGCTCAGGCTGGTTTCGAACTCCTGACCTTGAGCAATCCGCCCCCGCCTCTGCCTCCCAGAGTGCTAGGATTACAGGCGTGAGCCACCGCCAGGCCTATTGCAACATATTTTATAATGGTTAAAAAAACGGGAAGCAGCCTAAATGTCCATTAGTAGGGGAATGTTTGTAGAATGGACATATATCTTTTTATAATAAATCGATTGGAAATAGATGCTAATTTAGGATAGTGGTTACCTTGTGGTGTGGGAAGAATGGAACAGGATGGGGAAAATTTTCATCTGAAATATTTTATTTGCTTTATGGGGAAAAACACTTAGCAATTTATAAAATATTAATAGTTGATGGCCTGGGTGATAGGTAACAGGTGTTTTATGTTATTCTTTGTACATTTCTATAGTTAACATCTACTCTTTAATTTCTTAAAGTAAAAATTATACTTAAGTAAGCATTTAACTTAAGAATTAACATGTAGCTATAACAGTCATGTTCAGTTATTTTGGAAAAAGACTACAAACTACACTGATAGGTACTGGGTTTCAAAAATAGTAATTTGGGTGAAAGAAAAATCAAATGCCACATAATCATTGAAAATAAAAAAGTGGAGAAGGCCAGGCGAGGTGGCTCACGCCTGTAATCCTAGCACTTTGGGAGGCCGAGGCGGGCGGATCGCTCAAGGTCAGGAGTTCGAAACCAGCCTGAGCGAGACCCCGTCTCTACCAAAAATAGAAAGAAATTAATTGACCAACTAAAAATATATATATACAAAAAATTAGCCAGGCATGGTGGTGCATGCCTGTAGTCCCAGCTACTCAGGAGGCTGAGGCAGCAGGATTGCTTGAGCCCAGGAGTTTGAGGTTGCTGTGAGCCAGGCTGACGCCACGGCACTCACTCTAGCCTGGGCAACAAAGTGAGACTCTGTCTCAAAAAAAAAAAAAAAAAAAAAGTGGAGAAGCTATTAACCATTAGCTTAAATGCACTTTGCTAGATACCTAAATTCTTCTAACCACTAGTAGATTAAAAAAATTCTTTTGACTGCGTTTGTTTTGAAATACATGTTAGTTGCTTACACTTTCCATAATGTTAAAAAGATAAGTTTTTAAAAAACAGATAAACTCATCACTCTGTAAAGATACAAAAGTGAACATGTGTTAAGGATTTTATTTAACTCATTAGTGAGGGAACTTGGTGTGAGGTGTTGGAGGTTCCAAAGTACAGTCACATCTGTAGATTAGAAATACTGTAATGAATGCACAAATGGAAGGCAAAACTAGCTTCCTTCTACAGTGGGGGAAGGAAGTCAATTGAACCTCCATTTAATAGAATTCATTTGCATGTCTAGGCTCAAATTATTTTCATTGCTGTCATCCACAGTACACAAAGCTGTAGAATAACCCCTGCACAATCAGAATTAGATAACCATGAAGAGTATGCTCTAATCTAGAATCTAGTTTGCCACTGAATCACACATATCTCATTTCACAGATGGGCAATTAAGGCCCAGAGAGAAGGGTCTCCCTGAGTTAGTAGCTATGTGTCTTGTGTTAAAGAGAAATTGTACCAGATACTTTTGAAATCAGCAAGACAGATTTTCTTCTAGCTACTACGTTAGGGAAGAGAGATGTCAGTATTGAACTGAGCTCAAATCCAAGTACAGAGAGTTCAGCTGGGGATTTTATAGCCCATGGGCAAAGTGAGGGGGCCTGGAATTCTTCAGTTTGAAATATTCAATATGCCAAGGTGCCTTTTTCAGGGGTTGCATGTCCTGAGCCCCATCAATGGAAAACTACTAAGAGGAATATGACTAGATATTAAAGGTAAGGGACTCTCGTAGGATTCTTGCCGGAACTGGGCACAGCAGGCCAAGACCTCGTGGAGAAGAGGGCTCAGAGGAACCTGACAGAAATTTGGTCAAGGAGATGGTCCTTGTCACCTGTTTTTGTTTCTCTTGCATGTAGTAAGCCAGACACCACTTGCATGATGATTTTATTCTAAATCCCTGGAGAGCAGAGAGTAGGATCAAAACCTTCAGGTTTGGAAGGCTCTTTACAGATCTCATTGTCTGACCAGCTACTTTGCTTGGCTTCGATGATTTGCTGCGTCTTATGAGCCAGTAGCAAATGAGGGCTAGCAGTGAGGGGTCACACTTGATGGTGATTAAGGCCCAGAGAGGGGAAGGGTCTCCCCAGATTTAGTACCTGTGTGTCATGTGTTAAAGAGAAATTACACTGGATACTTTTTTAAAACAGCAAGACAAGATTTTCTGGCTTTGTTCAGACCTCGGTTTGAACTTGACTTTGCTACTTAGATGGCCCTGTTACCTTAGCCTTATTACTTGTATTGCTGTTTGTTTAGCTAGAATGGTCATTCTGTCCTAAAGCTTGCAAATGGATTAAACCCCATTGATGTTATGTTACATTTCTTGAAGTCTAGTGGAGTCCTTTAAGTGAATCGCTGATGTAGGGTAGCCCTGCAGTCTGAGCAGGGACGCAGGCCAAGTGGGAACAGCACAGGACTTATCATTAGAGGCTGGAGCAGTTCATAAAGGCCTGTCCTTTGACTTTGTGTGGTTCAGGCTTTCTGTTGATGGTTTTCTTTTTTTTTCTTCTTCTTTTTTTTTAATGACAAGAGCTCTTTATGCAGAGAGCCCACTAGTGCCTTAAAATAGCAGGGCAGGGAAGGGCACTGTGGGTGTCCTACTGCCGGAGGAGGCAGTGAGGGCCCGTTCTGTGCTTGGGCCCCGAGGTGGGGTGCAGTGCCTCCCAGACTTTCACATAAGCAGCTGTTTTTTGTGACAAGCAGGTGGTTTAGTGAAACAAGCACAGTCTTTGCAGTCAGATCTGTGTGCTGCTCCCAGCAGTGCGAGTTACCAGCAAGTTTCTCTACCTCTGAGCCTGTTTCCTTGCCCGTCTGAAAGGGGTAGTGATACTTGCTCATAGGGCTGTTGTGAGCATGGTGTAAATAAAGTGCCTCGCACATTATGTGGCACTTGGTAAACACAAATATCCCACTCCCCCATTTGTGCAACCTGCTAGCGCATAGCACTTGCTGGAGGCTTGCTTTCTGATCGCCCCTGGCTGTGCAACAACTGTGTCGTCTTCTCCTTGCACATGGTTAGCAGACTAAATGCACGTCCCCCAACAGTGCACCTTGGAGATCTTTCCACTTTTGGCACATCAGATCCTAACTCTTTTAAACATTTCACAGTATCCCATTATAAGCATGTACCATGATTGGTTTAGCTAGATGTTTATGTCACTGCCAGTGCTTTGCTCTTACAAACGGGCTGGCTCCCTCACCTCCATTGATATCTTCCCCTTTTAAAAGTGACACCTCCCACTCCTCCTGGGACTCCGTCCCTCTCCAGCCTAATTTTTCTCCATCTCTCTCATCTGTGACAACCCGTGTATTTCAGTGGTCTCTGTCTTCCCTCCAGAATGTCAGCTCTGCGAAAGGTTTTGTCTGCTTGGTTCACAGTTCAGTGCCTGTGAGCAGCTACGTGTGTGGATGGATGGGGCGGGTGGGTGTTGGAAGGAGTGGGCAGGAGGGCAAATTAAGGGAGAAGTAGACTATGATTCCTGTGTGACCGGGACCATGGAAGGCCACAGGCCCAAATAGCAGAGTAACAAAGAGCTAGTTTAGCAGGGATCCTTGACTTTTTCTCCATCAGTTTTTCACTTTGGTAAAACAAGAGTAATAGAGATTCTGCAAGATGATTTGTCGCTTTGTTTTGGTGCTTTGACTTTGTCAAAAGTCATGCAGTAATGCAGATTAGGAAATTGCCATCTAAGCTGGCTGCTCTGAGGTGTGTTTGTTTTGGGGGGGTTGGGTAGAGGAATAATTATCTTACTTTCATGTCTCAGCCCCACCCCATGCCTCCATGTTTCCCAAAATAGTGTTAGAGTATGTGTTTTCTATGCAGTGACATACTGTGAGGCTTTTAACTGGAGAGCCCTGGGGACATGGGTGTTTCTGCTTAGGAATTCTCTCTGGCCTGACCGCTCTGTTCTTCATACATTTGTATAATTGGACCTTTTCTGGGTCATTTACCTTCCAGCCCCATGGTGAGCCCAGATCAGGCTGAGTGGACTTTCAAGGAACGTCCTCGGGTGCACGTGACAGACCAGTGGGTTCTAGTGTTGGGGTCTTCAGCAAACCTAACCCCCCCCAAAACAACTGAAGGAACAAATGTAGGGCCACCTTACTATAGTTACCGTCCATTGACTGAATTTAGCACCAATTCAGGCTCACACATTAAGGATTGAATTCTAGGGCAGGAGACATCTCATGGGGATGGCAGTTTGTGTTTTTTTTTTTTTTTATTTTGACATATTATAGGGGTACAAATTTTAAGGTGTCAATAAATGCCCTTTTCCCCCCTCCCCCCACAAGTCTGAGTTTCCAGCATGACCATCCCCCAGATGGTGCACATATCCGTCATTATGTATGTATGTACTGCCCTCCCCCCTCCCACGGGGATGGCAGTTTGTTGACCAGGATGCCGGGCTTGGGGCAGAGGTGGACTAGAGCACCCAGGGTTGCCGAAGAGGGCTGCTACGTTACATTTGACCAAAGCTTCCCGTCACCAGAACTTGTTAGAAATTCAGTCTCAGGCCCTGTCCCAGGCTGTTGAATTAGAACCTGCCTCCCAACAGGATGCCCAGGAGGTCTGGATGTAGGCTCTCATTGGAGAAGCGCTGGCCTAAGGCACTCTTAGTTCTTCATTAGTTTACATTCTTTTAGCCTTGCTGTTTTCTTTATGTACGGGAGAAAATCCATCATTTGGAGGGCTAGACATGGAATGTTGAGGATTATTTCTTTGACTTAGAGGTTCATCATGCCTTAGCTGGCTGTGTGCTCCGTGAGGGCAGAGGCTTTGTCCCTGTTGCCATGGAGTTCCCAGCAGCTGTGCCTTCTGGGAGAACAGGTGTTGGGAGACTCTGGCTGGGCGGTGAGTGGTGTCGGAGGCAGAGGTCAGTCCTGCACACTCCCTTCTGCTCAGAGTCCCCACGTCTCAAAGACTGTGTGTTTATCCTCTTATCACAGAGGCACAGGCCTGGCTATGTTTTCTGTCTCGGGAAGGCTGTTTTAATAGAATAACACGTTCAGGTCATGGGGTAGGATCTGGTCTGGTAATGCAAGGTGACCAAGACGAAGCCTCATTCTTGCCACTTATACTTTAAAAATGTATTTAAAGTGTTGGCACTGAAGCATAAAGTAGGGCGTGTGCCTCATTAAGGATGAAGTCTTGCCCTGCAGAACCGTGGAGCAGAGAGTGCTGGGCCAGGAACTCAGACGGTGTGAGTTTGGGCCGTGGCCAGAAAGACAATCTGTGGACATTGGGCAAGTCACTACTGTCCTCCCTTAGCCTCCCCTTCCTGTCAGACAAGGGTGAAAATATGTGCCCTGCCTGTCATGCGGAGTACAGACACATGCTCTGCAAAGGTGGTACAAAGACTACGTGAATTGATGTTTGACCAGAGCTCATCCAGATGGTTCACCCATAAACTTACCCATCCATGTTTTATGGAACATGTATTGCATTTTTATATAGCTTATTGTGTAAGTAGTATGCATCATTAAGTGTGTTAAAAACAGACAAATATGAAGAAGAAAATCTCCTTTAATCCCACCTGCCACCCAGTGATAACTACTGTTAAGGTTTTATATCTGCCTTCCACATTTTTCTGTGCCCAGTTCACAGGATGTATATGCTCTTTACTTACAAATATTTCATAGTGTGTGGTAGGGGTTTCTCTGGCACAGTGAATTTTGTTGATGAATTTTATCTGTTGTATTTTGAGTTGTGACAAAAATTTTAAAAGGTGCCCAGAGAGCTTTCTGGATGTTCTTTGGCTTATATGCATCTAGTGAAGATTGGGCGATATGGACAGACCCCTTCTCCACATGGGGAAAGGGTAGCAGAACTAAAAACAGAATTCCTCTCTGTTTTCGCTGTTATCCTCAACATACTCTGTCTGGTGACTATATGATCGTACCTTTTTGACCCACGTACTGTGATATTTTCTTAGAGACTGATGATGTCACCTATTCTTGCTCCTTTTTACTTGACTCTGCTTTTCTCTTCTCAGGTTTCTGCCGTTGAACTCCCAGGCACAGAATGATCTGGAAAGCAGCTGTGTTGCTTGGCTTGGTCCTGGGAACTCGTGCTGTTCCCATAGACGATCCCGAGGATGGAGGCAAGCACTGGGTGGTGATCGTCGCGGGCTCAAATGGCTGGTATAATTATAGGCACCAGGTAAGAAGATGACTCATCTTTTTCTTTATGACACTGGCATTCTGTAAACAATCCTGGATGTTGGTAATAGAAAAGACTTCCTGAAAGGCCATTCACATACCTATTAGGTTGGCTAAAATGTGTGTGTTCAAACCCTTGTACGTTGCTAACAGGATTGTAAGATGATATAGCCGTTTTAGACAACAGTTTGGTAGTTCCTCAGAAGTTTCTACAGGGTCTAGTCTGATGCAAGGTTTCTCAGTCTTGGCGCTGTTGATAGTTGGGGACCAGGTAGTTCTTTGTCGTTAGGGGCTGTCCTGTGCATTGCAGGATGTTTTGGCAGCATCCTTGGCCTCTACCTGCTAGAAGACAGTAGCATCACGCACCCCACTGTAACAACCCCAGATGTCTCCAGACATTGCCTAGTGTCCCAGGGGGCAAAATCGCCCAGGCTGAGACCCACTGATCTAACACCTTCATTTTATAGATAAGGAAACTGAGGTCTAGAGTGTGGAGGTGACTTGCCCGAGGCCACATGGCAGGTGAAGGCCAGACAGGACTGCACCCAGGGCTCTGTGAAAGCATCACAGGCCTCTGTGCCCTCCAGGTCTCTATCCTTCTCTCTCCCCCTCCCTCCTCCCCCACGTTTCCTGGATCTCTGTCAAAAGTTAGAAAAATAAAGGAATCCATGAGTGAGCGTACATTCAAAGCACAGCCTCTGTGTTGGAATGCGAGAGGGTGCAGCCCCATTGGGAAATGGTCTGGTAGGGCCTCAAAAAGTTAAACGTCAGCTTACCATATGACCCAGCAATCCCACTCCTAGGTATGTACCCAAGAGAAATGAAAATGCATCCACACAAAAACTTGCACGTGAGTGTTCATATTGTTCATAATAACCAAGAGGTAGAAACAATCCAAATGTCCAACAAATGATGAACAAATAAATAGGATGTGGTATATTGATATAAGAGGATATTATTTGACTATGAAAAAGATTGAAGTACTCACACGAAGTTCGGTATAAATGAACCTTCAAACCATGCCACGTAAAGAAAAGCTAGTCACAAAGACCATACCTTTTATGATTCTATTTAAATGAAGGTCCAAATTAGGGAAATCTATAGAGGTAGGAAATAGATAAGTAGATGCCAAGGGCTGGGCAGAATGGAGAATGGGGAGTGATCGCTAATGGGCATAAGGTCTCTTTTTGGGGTAATGAGAATGTTCTGGAATTGACAGTACACAACTAATGGGTACACAACTTGGCTAATAAACTAGAAACCACTGAATTATCTACTTTAAAAGGCTAAGTTTGTGGTGTGTTAATTGCATCTCAATGAAGCTGATACTTTTTAAAAGTCATTTAATGTTTTCAGTCTCAGAAACGAAATGCTCAGGCTATTGCAGTATCTATATGCTGGGCTCTCTTCTAAGAGCACTTTGCACACTTTACACCCCAAAGCGGGGTTATATGCAGTGATTCCAATTCCTATTCCTGCTTTACAAATCATGGGACTGAGGCATAGCCTGGGTCAGCAATTTGCCCAGCATGGCACAGCTGACAAGTGGTGGTCGGTTTTAAAACCCAGGCAGACTGTTTCTGGAGCAGCCCTGTCCAATGGGAGAGCCACAGGTGCAATAGCAAATTTAAACAGGTGAAATTAAATAACTTATTTAAACCAATATGTCCAAACCACTATCATTTCAACATATAATTAATGTAAAAAATTAATTACAAAATGCCAGCCAGGCACAGTGGCGTGTTCCTATAATCCAAGCTACTCAGGAGGCTGAGGCAGGAGGATGGCTTAAGCCCAGGAGTTCAAGGCTGTAGTGTGATTAGATCCCATCTATCAACAGCCACTGCACTCTGGGCCAGGCAACATAGCCAGACCCTGTCTCTAAAAAATAAAAATAAAAATAATAATGAACTATCTTACATTTTTTTTATACTAAGCCATTGAAATCCAGTGTGTATTTGCACTCACTGAACAAATGAATCACTCATTTCTTGAATGGTTTTGTATGTTAGCCGAATAGGATATTTGGCTTGATTAAAAAGTTCTTATCTTGGCAAAATGATCCCTTCCCTTTTAATACTTAACCACAGACCTGACCCATTTAAAGAGGAACAACTCGAGTATGTAACTGTTCAGCTCTCAGTTTTCTCCTCCCTCTCTAACCATGAGTTAGAAAGATAAGATATTAAATGTAGTTCATGGGTAAAGAACATGCTGACATCAGCCACCCTGGTTTTTATACAACCAACTTTAAAAAAATGTATTTGTTAAACATTATTAAGTATAGGTTTTCCAGTTACCTTTTGTTCCTGGAAACATTTTTTTTAAAAGCATTGCTAATTTCTCTGTGTAAAATACTAAATATTGAAATAGAATGAAGTGAGACAGGGTAGAAGAAGTGGCCACAGACTGAAATATTCATCCCCAAGTAAGAGGATGATGGCAGTAAAGCCATGCGGAGGTGATGTGTGCTGAGTCACTGCAAGCTCGGCCTGCATCCCTGCTGGGCTGCTTCTGTCCCCAGCCAGCTGCCAGCATTTGCTCTCTTGACTTTAGAGCAGGGGTCCTCAAACTTTTAAAATGGGGCCAGTTCACTGTCCCTCAGACGGTTGAAGGGCCGTTGGAGAGTGCGGCACACATTCTACACATACGTATCGTGGGCCTGGGACGAGTCGGCTGCTAAGCAGGACAGGCAGCGGCGGCAGAAACACCTGGCAGGCCAGATAAATTTCCTCGGTGGGCCGCATGTGGCCCGTGGGCCGTAGTTTGAGGACGCCTGCTTTAGAGGCTAATCATTAAAAGAGCATTTGAAAGGACGGTCCCATAGAGCCTATACAGGTTTTTAAACTTACATTTTTATTTCTTTTTTTTTAGAGACAAGGTCTCACCCTGGCTAGAGAGCAGTGGCACTATGATAGCTTACTGCAGCCTTGTTCTCCTGGGCTCAAGTGATCCTCTTGCCTCTGCCTCCCAAGTAGCTGGGACTGTGGGTATGCACTACCATGCCTGCCTGCCCGGCTAATTTTTTAAAAAAAATTTTTGTAGAGATGGGGGTCTCTCTCTGTTGCCCAGGCTGATTTTGAACTCCTGGCCTCTCAAAGTGATCCTCCCTTCTCAGCTTCCCACAGTGCTGGGATTACAGTTGTGAGCCATTGTACTTGGCTGGTTAATTTATTATTGAGAAACAAGATTTTTTTAAAATAAATTTAGTGTTGTCTAAGTGTACAGTGTTTATAAAGTCTACAGGAGTGTACAGTGATGTTCTAGACCTTCACATTCACTCACCACTCACTACTGACTTACCCAGAGCAACTTCCAGTCCTGCAAGCTCCATTCATGGTGAGTGTCCTATACAGTGTACCATTTTTTATCTTATTATATTCTTACTGTACCTTTTCTATATTTTAGATATGTTTAGGTACACAAATGCTTACTGTTGTATCACAGTTGCACGCAGTATTTGCACAGTAACGTGTTGTCCAGGTGTGTAGCCTAGGAGCAATAGGCTATCCCATACAGCCCAGGTGTATAGTGGGCTATACTATGTAGGTTTGTGTAAGCATGCTCCATAATGTTTGCACAATGATGAAATTGCCTGATGATGCATTTCTCAGAACAAATCCCTGTCCTTAAGCAACGCGTGACTATATGCTTCTCAGAATCTCTGTTTCTGGCATTGCATTCTGAAAATGGCAAACAGTAGAATTTTTCTGAGTACTAAAGCAGAATTGACATATTGGTCCATTTAGTTTAGTGCTTTTCACGTCTAGGTTCATGATCTGCAAGGGGTGAAGAGATGGAGGGAGGAGGGGGTTTTGGAGAACGTTGAGTCAGGGGCCTTCTAGTCAAGAGCTCCCAGCCTTTTGGGACAGTTGCACAAATACCTGAACACAAGCTGAAAAAGAGTAGTTCCCATAGGAGCTCCAAATGTTGGGTCTAGGACAAGGAGTAGGTAAGGAGCAAAATTAAGAGTATGGCTTCATGGAGGGTAATGGGACTTCCACAGAAGGAGCTGGAACAAAGGGTGAGTGTTCCATGTGGAGAGAAGAACATGAACTGGCAGTGGGGATATAAAACTGCAGCAAGGGAATGGCCAGTATGTTAGGTGCAAGTACACATAACCATAACACTCCTCTGGTTTGAATCTTAAGGAGTGTGGAGACTCTGGGATTGGCTAAGTTAGCATTCCAGCCCCGTTGTCCTGAACCCAGGTCCTTTTCATTTTCCACTCTGCCATCATCATTGTGATAACCTGTCCTCAGGCAAGCTCTCCTCATAGTCACAAAATAGCTACAACAGCTCCAGGTGTCACATCCAACAAATTAAATCTTGTAGAAGAAAAAGAGGCTATCTGTGTGTCTTATCTGTCTGGGTTTCTCTTTATCAGAGTACAGACCTTTTCTTGGGGCCGTGGGTGGACTTCTTCCCATGTCTGCCTGGTCAGAATTGCATCACATGCTCATGTTCAAGTCAGTGCCTGGTGAGGGGAAAGGGATTTCAAGTTCTGACTCAAGGAAGCTCCTGACCACTTGGAGCTGGACAGGTCATCTGAGCAAAGGTAGGGCCATGGCTGGGTGCAGTGGCTCATGCCTGTAATCCTAGCACTCTGGGAGGCCGAGATGGGTGGATTGCTCAAGGTCAGGAGTTTGAAACCAGCCTGAGCAAGAGTGAGACCCCGTCTCTACTAAAAATAGAAAGAAATCAATTGGCCAACTAAGAATATATAGACATATAGAAGAATATATAGCCTGGCATGTTGGTGCATGCCTGTAGTCCCAGCTACTCAGGAGACTGAGGCAGGACGATCGCTCGAGCCCAGGAGTTTGAGGTTGCTGTGAGCTAGGCTGACGCCACGGCACTCTAGCCCCGGCAACAAAGTGAGACTCTGTCTCAAAAAAAAAAAAAAAATGTATGGCCCTGATAAGAAGAAGGGTGTGCAAGGATGGCACATGGTCCAAATAGACAGAGACAAGGAAGCAGGCAAGCATGAGGCTAGGAAGT